CTGGCAGGACACAGAATGTGTGATGGTGAGGGGGGCAGACAGGTGTAGACTCTGAACAGTCCGGTTCCACCACCTGCAAGACAGAAAAACAGAGGTTTTAACACCCATCTGCCCCGTCATACCTCCTCTGAGGGGTATAAGCTGTAGCTGATTTGCGGATTTTTGTTGTCGTTTTTTTACCAGGGTTTTGGGTCCATTTGAGCGTCCAAGCAGAGGAAGCCTTTCTCACACATCCACTGATCCCTCAGGAACTTTGACCTGCAGGTAGATACGGGTGAATTTGAAGAAGTCTGCTGAAGTTCAGCCAGACTTCCACCTAAAACACATCTGACTCTAGACAATCTGTTATTTATCAGGTGCATCACTGCTTTACGTCAGTTTTTCTTTTTTTTAATGCTGACAGCTTTATTGTGGGATTTATTGATTAGGGATAGGACATGGCTGTAAAAAAAGAAAGAAAGAAAGAAAGCATCCTAGTTGAAACACATGTGTCTCTTCCTCTCTCATTTCCTGTCACTGCTGTTCTGTCCTTAATAATGGGAAAAACATCCACACAAAGGGTTTCAAAAGAAAGTGCTTTTATGTTAAATTCTTGTCTAACTAATGGCTGGTGGGAGCAACATGATTACTGCTTTTAGCCAGACATAGCTCAGAGGAAGAGAGTCCAACTCTTTGAAACCATGAAGATCTCTAAACTGATTTAATCATTTCTACACACATTTACACATTTTTGAGGACAAAGCTAAAAACTATTGGATGGTCTGTGGTTAAATTTGGTACATATGTTCATTCACTGGCTTTTAAAGATTTTATTAAAATGTTCTTTTTAAAGGGGGAAAGATTATAAAGCATACATCTTTAATTATCTAAAAAAAAACAAACAAGAATGGAAGCAGAAATTTTAATACATTTTCTCTCTAATCCACACAGGATCAAAAGTATACGTACAAGCCCCTGGCCCAAAATCAGCAGCTTGAAGTTCAACTGAAAAGAGCAGCTTCCCCACATAGACAAGCCAAATGCCTTCTGAAGAAACGTTTTATGATCAGAAGGGACAAAAACTGAGCTATTCGGCCAGTAACAAGAGGAGTATTTGTAGGAATAAAGCTGAGGCTTTCACAACAAAGAACATTATAGCATCTGTCCATGCTCAAGGGTGTTTTGTGCCCAGTAGTGTGTATGGATGCA